TTCTGTTTTCAAACAGTAGGAGTGCATGGTAGGGGGATATAAAAGCTTCTATGAATGCTGTTCTTTTTCTTCAAATCAAAACAGCTGCACACACATATGTCTTTTATTAAATATTACCCTTTTAATGAACATGAATACACTCCAACTGACAGGAAGATTATCAGCAAGATTCAAACCTGGATGCTTCAGAATACAAACCAGGGGCTTTAGTATTTTTAAAAGAAGAATTTTTTTTATCTGTAAGATGGATTCTGTGGAGCATCCACAGTGCATACAATACCAAGGATAGTAACAATGGATTTACATATAGTAATTTCATTAGTTTACTACTTGGTATCACAGCTTTAAAGCGAAGTGAATTTGCCATGACCTGAAGTAGCACTAACTGTAGTAGGAAAAGGTTACTGTTCCTACCAGGAAGGTTTCTTCATTTTCTACTCCAAGAGCTTAATTCCCTTGTTTCATGGTCTATATTTCACAAATATGTGACAGATGGTACTAACTGGCCTTGCACAGTGAAAAGAGAACTGTGAAAATATGCTGTTGGGAAATACACCAAATGTATCTTGTGCTGTTGATTGCCTAAAGACTGTCTTCTAGAATTTGCTCCAATCACCAGAAAAATGTAACAATGGAGTTCAAAAAAATATATGTTTGACAATTGTCCAATTTCTGCTGACTTTGGAATCTTGACTAAGTCAGTGATAAAGTGAACCAAGTACCCATAGCTTTGTAGATATACTGTCCAGTGCAGGTTATTAAGCTATTAGAGTAACAATTGAATACCATATCTACCTGAAGTACATTATTCATTCTCCGTGAAGTCTGCATAACTGTTAAACTGACAAAGTATGCAACATAAACCATTGACCTCTTATGGTTAGAATGCTATAAAAGCAGTTTTCAGGATAAATTAAGCTACCTTATATATATAATATTATTTTATATATATATAAAATATTATATATATGTATATTTTTTTTTTCTGAGAATCTCTTCAAATCACAAGAAACTGAAATTGTTACTCCATATCAATTTGAAGGAATTCACACCTCAAACACAGAGCTTAGAATATCTGTTTTGCCCACAACGCCCTGAAGTAGCTTAAGCCAGGCTGCAAGCCAGTACTTCAGAGACAAAGTTCTCTTAATAAAATCCTTATTGATTTTTAGAACATAATGTTTTTAGAACCTATTGTTTTTAGCACATTATAGGCAAAGACCGCTTGTTTGCTTTCCAAATAAGCAATCAAAAGATCATGCATTACTGTAACTCATTGCTCTAAAAGCACTACCTCCTCCCCACTCAGTGTCTCTGCAGGATGTCTCAAAGGTCTAAGAAGTACTGACAATGATGTTCCATATTTCAACTTGGAAACAAAAATCACAAATTTGAGGAAATTAATTTCACTGTCTCACATTTAAGGAATTTTAAAACAAGATGCAAAACTCATACTCTTTTTTTTTTTTTTTTTTTTTTTTTTTTCTCCAAATTGTGAATATTTACTACTTATTAATATTCCCAAAGCAGTTTTGGCTGAACCCCCAATGGCAGATCGCTCAGAGGGGACTTGGGACACTCATTGTAGATCATTAATCAATTCAGGCCTCCCTATGCATCAGAGTGCTGTGTAGGATGCGGGCCACAGGGCTAGTAAGGCTAAACCTCATGGCCAGGGCACATCCCAGTGCCCCAGCCAGGAACAGGGCAGCTGGGGCATCCCCAGGCCTTCAACTATAAGAAATAATAACTGACTGAATTGAGCAGAGTATGGGAGGTCCCAGAGGAGGCCTTTTGGGGACAGTAATGGATGGCACTTCCCTCATGGCTCTGATATAAAAATTTTTCTGCTGCTGCTGTGACATGGACATTTCTGAATGGCTTTGTTGGATTTAGGTACTTTGGGTTTTATTTTCAGAAACATAAAGGATGCTTCAGACCTCCTTTGTTTATTCTTTGGAGAGAAGCTGCATCCTCTATAGGGGTTTACTCCTTTTAAATTGCAATGAGTAACTATAAAGAATGCCTTGTGAGCTGTGTTATTTGAGCTCAGAACAAATGCAGTTCTAAGTGTGGCTAAGAAAGCCTTTATCTCTCACCACCTGCATAAGTAGTTCTATGAAAAATATGAATTGATTTTTACACTGAATGGCATTCAAAATCCAGCAGGCTAATAAAAATATAGATAGCAATCATAGGTGTGAGGAAACAGAACACACTTCATTCCACTGGGACATTACCCGCACACATTCATCACTGAGGGACAGACTCCAGGTCAGCTTCGGAGTAGCAGAAACTTTAAAGAGCCAAAATATCTTAAATAGTCTAGAAGTAATTTAGCAGAACACCCTGCTGTATCTTCTCATTCTTATTATTTGAAATAAAAAAATAAACAACTTTGTTAGATGTCCATTTTTAAGAATGTAGAAACTACACTGCTTGTTCTAATTACACATTTTTTTCTCTGCTTTTTGGTCTTCCAAAGGAATATAATTACCATAGAACTTTTGTATTGCCAACTGTTATTAATCAATAATTATGACAAAACAATCACTGTTTCAGCATACGAGATTATTTTAAAAGAGTACCATCCCTTTAAGTATGTGGAAAACTGATAAGCAAACATCTTTGAGAATCACACAGTTTCTCCAGTTTAAACAACTTTAAGACATAATTTCAGAAATATTTATCACTATTCAGTGAACAGAACTTTTGATTCTAATAGGTCTTCCAAGGAAATAATTAGCTTTAGGATGTATTTAAGTAAATGAACAGATGAAAAAAAAATCTCATTTACAGTTCCTTAGTCATTTCAGTGAATTGTCTACTTTTGAACAATGAGGCTTCCTGACTGATATATTTTCACTTAAGAATTTGACAGAGGGAAGCTGGAAAATGTGCCATGAAGAGAAAGCACTGACTTGTGGCTGTTCCACACTAACGGCTTCCTTAGGGACTAATAAAATAAGTTAGAGCCTAATAAAAAGACTGACCTTTTATTTAGGATAACAATGAACCTTAGCTGCCAAGTTAAGTCAGACCCATTATTCTAAATGACAAGACAAAAAGCTTCAAAGAAGAAGTCACATACTTCCCATGAACCTAATATATTATCATACAAGAACACTTAAATTTCTCAGTCCTAAGGAGAATACATTTGTATGCGGTGAAGCAAGACATATTTACTTGGTAAAATTCTCCCTTCTGACTGCTAATTTCAGAAATAATACTGCTCGTATTTTCAGAGAAGCTCTGGGGTGGATGTTGATGATACAGCACCACACAAGATTTCGGATTCATGAAACACATGAAATGTTGTGAAAATCGTGGCACCAAGTCGGATTGCACAATTTTCTTGTTCAATTTCTTATCTCAAAAAATAGATGTAAAAGCCTAAGAACACAGAAGTCAATAGGACAACTCCCAGTGCTCCTCCAGCCTTTGGGACTTCGTAGGCTGGGTAAGTCTGTTAACTTAATTGAAAAAAACATCACTTGTAATGCCTTCTGAACTGACACCTACTAGTTTCCTCTGATACCACCTCTTTCTCCATAGCAGAAGAGAGAAACAGTTTATCGTTACATACACTGTGAATCACAGCATCATTGAAGTTGGAAAAAGACCTCTAAGGTGGTCTAGTACAACTCAATCCATGTCCACTAAACCACATTCCTAAGTGCCACACCTACCCCTTTCTTGAAAGTCTCCAGGGACTGTGACTTCACCACTTGCTGGGAAGTTTGTTCCAATACCTCATTGCTCCTTCCAAGAAATTTCTCTTATTCTCCAACCTGAACATTCCCTGGTGCAACTTGAGGCCATTACCTCTCATCCTGTCTCTGTTACCTGGGAAAAGAAGCTGATCTCCACCTTTTTACAACTGCCTTTCAGGGAATTTGTAGAGAGCAATAAGTTCTTTCCCAAGCCTCTTCTTCTCCAGACTGAACAATGCCAATTCCTTCAGCTGCTATTCATAAGACCTGTGCTCCAGATCCTTCACAGCTTCGCTGCCCCTCTTTGGACACGCTAGAGAGGTTCAATGTCCATCTTGCAGTGAGGGGCCCAAAACTAAACACAGTACTCTTGTACTGCTATTTCTAATTCAAGCCAGGATATCATTAGTCTACTTGGCCACCTAGGCACATGGCTGGCTCATGTTCAGCTGATTGCAGACTGATATCTCCAGATCCTTTTCCACCATGCAGCCACTCTATCCTAAACCTGTAGCAATGTATGGTGCTATCACTCAATGCAATGGATGATCAAATCACTTCTTCAAAAAACATTTAAGAAAGAAAAGGCTTAAAGAATTGTGGATAAGATTCTTCAGCTTCAGTTAGGAGTATGAGCCAGACAGGATTTTGGAATTCAAATAACCAAGATAAAAATATTTTAAAGAGGCAACAAGATTATAAAGTTTATTTATAATTTACTTCATTATTAAATATAGTTAATTTACTAAACTGAAGGAGACTCCTGACAAAAGTAGTATTGCAAACTTCATAGAGACTTTCCGGGAACAAGTTTTTCAGTAGTAGCAAAGCATGACCCCTTCAAAACACATGAATTCTAAGAAAACCAGGGGAAACATTTAACACTTCAAGAACTGAAGTTCTGTAGAGCACTTCAGTTACTTCCTTACTGCATTTATTCACAGAAGTAATCTGCTACATGATACACACTCCTTCTGCATCTATTTGAACTGCAAAGAGGAAAATTTTACACATTTCGGTGAAGACATTTTCACAAATGAAAACAAACGTATTGAAAAGGTCTATTAGTATATGAAGTAATTTTGGTCCTAAGTGATATTAAAAAGCATTATAAATTGTTTGTAATCAATCAAAATATCAGCTCTATCAAAATTTTATCCACTAAGCTTATCCAAATTTTCTACGATTTTTATACTGTAACACATTTTCTTGACTCAAATTCATATCCCTCCGTGGAATTTTTCAGCAGTTTTAAAAGGAAACAATTAAAAGAAGGTACTAACTTACATAGTAAAGACATCAATAACATCTCCTGCAGCTCTTGTCATCTCGAAGTAGGTTTGCAGAATGTTGACAGTTCCTGAAAGTGCTTCATGTCCACAACCACAGAACAGTGCAACACCAGCATACAGCAGGATGGTAGCAATCAAAGATGCATAGGGAATACCTCCCAGGCATTTAATGCAACACTCAAAGCACCCTACAAAAAAAGGAAATTTTTTTGTTAATATATTATATCAAGAAGAAAAAAGTTGGGTTTTTTTGTTTTGTTTTGTTTTTTTTTAATCTTGAGAAATGCATAAATCAAAGGTGGCAGGCCAAAGACAGATTAGATCAGATATAAAAATCCATCAGTTCAGAAAATCTGTGAGAGGGCACAGGTTAATTCAACTTTTGAGCTTTCTTAGTTGTTATTTGGCCTATTAAATGTAGACACGGAACATGGAACGTTCAACATTGTATTATTCCTTGTGCAGTTTCAAGAGCAGATTACAGAGTCAATTCCAGGTTACACCAATATTCACAACTCCTGTTTCTCATTGGATTTCTGAGAAGAATCCTCAGTAATGGGAAAGCCACAGGGAGCATCCAATTCAGTTCCCTCCATCACCATACATTTTTTTCATCTGCAGAGAGTGACAACAGAATTTTTCCACCCCATAGCACCATTTTGAGGATGCAAGCAACTTTTCACATGTCACTAAAATAGCTAATAATAACAGAGGAAGATACCACACTAAAAAGGCACAGATTAAGACACCACTAATAAAAAGGTACAGAATAATTGCAGAAGCTGAATTATTTCCCAACTTATTTTACCCCGTGGAATGTTTCTAGAGAGAGAGCAATTGCCCTTTGATTATACCAGGCCAATCTTTCCTCCATTCATCAAGTTCTAAGCTCAGCTTGGACCAAGGGTTCTCAAATTTTTGGCAGTTCCTTGCCCTGCTTGACAAGTAGTTTCACAAATGCAGCAATCTCTCATCCTGTCAAATCTCAGCAATCCCATAACAACTTTCACATCCTGTAAAGCCCTGCCTGTTAATTTTTGGAAGAACAGAAAAGGCAGGAACCTATAGTAGGGAGAGGGCAGACAGAACTGTAGGTATTAAGGAATCTGATCTGTAATGGGAGAAAATCCTGAAGAAAGGCACTGACTCAATAGCTAGAAACTTTATTTTCTCCTAATAATTGCTAGCTTGTGCCACAAAAGATTTAGATGAAAAACAGGGTGAGGCTTACAGATTTTACATGGATGTGTCAGCGATTGCCAATTAAAAATCATATATATGATGTTCAGCAGGTGTCAGTGTATTTTAAGACGCTCCCAAAACCTCAGGCTACACTAAATCATAGGAATGCCAGAGTTACAGTGAAACAGCAACAACAAAAGTGCAAAAAGACATTTTTTTTTAATAAAATATGTCTACCTCACTCAAAGTACATGTAGCCTCTACACGTAATTTGTATTTTGTTGTGCAGACTCTTGTTTCTTTCTGTCCAGATAATCAGAATAGTCATTTCTTCTGTCTGTTCAAACATTCATTTTCTGCTCTTAATAAACACATGCCAATCTGTTTATCATATATATATTTAGCAGCTGTTTATACACATCAAAATCTCTGATCAGTTGTCCTGGTTTCAGCAGAGACAGTGTTGATTTTCCTTCATAGTGTCTGGTACAATGCTTTGATTTGGCTTTAAGAGAAAAATGTTAATAACACAACGATGTTTTAGTTGCTGTTGAGCGGTGTTGCACAGAGCCGAGAACATTTCTGTTTTCTGAGCTTCTTTTGTTGCCTTGCCAGTGAGGGAGCTGGAGAGGCTCACTGAGATTGGAGGGAACAGAACTGGGACAGTTGATCCAAATGGGTCAAAAGGATATTCCATTCCATATGAAATTATGCAAAAACAAACAAACAAACAAATGAAAAAAACCCACCAAACCAAACGTCAAGGGGAGTTGCCAAGGGGACAGCCACTGCTCAAGAAGTGGCTGGGGATCATTTGTTAAGTGGAGAGCAACTGCTTTGTGCATCACTAGTTCTGTGTATATGCATACGTGACTATATATGTGTGTGTATATATATTTTTTCATTGCATTTATCTCTCTTCATTTTTTTTGTCCTAGCAAATTGTGTTTAGCTGCTTGCCAGGTTAAACAACAATTTAGGCCAGTTTCAAACATACACGTATTTTAGTTAAATAGAAACCTCTATAGATATTTTGTAAATACAGATTACCTGAAAAGCAGTGCTTGAACTGCTGGATAATTTCTATAAGAAAAATAAAATAAAAATATACTAAACATACACAAGACATAATCAGACTTCATAAATTAATGTAATTCCCAAATACATATGATGATTTCATTACAACAGAAGCAAATATTGTTTGAGACTTGTACTTTACAAATTATATCAGCAAATCATCCATCTCCAGTTGCCATAACACATTTGCATGATTGTAACACTGCCCTCCCTTGCAATATTTTGGCTGAAGGATACATCCTTCTCTCTACTCATGACACCCTACTGTGCTGACAGGAGGTAGATTTCCTTTTCGGCAGCTACACAGGGCTTTCAACATCAAGAAATCACTTTTTGTCTGTTCAGTGACTGTAAAAGTCCAGAGTTTTATATCTAGGAAATCTGGGGGTTTTTCATTAGTGGCAGGTTTTAAGAGACTAGGAAAACAAATGCTTGTGGAGTAACTAGTTCTGCAAGCAGACAAATTACTCAATCTTTTAAAATTCTCTCATTCCCATTTTCTAAGACTACCCCTAGCCATACCTATAGCTACTTCCTCAGAGCTTAAAATCCAACACAAATACTGTGTGTGGATCCTGCACTGGCTAATCTGCTCTCTAATAGGCATAGAAAATAAGAAATACGTATTCAAAATATAAATATATATATTTTTTGCAAGGAAGACAGGGAAATAGATATATGTTTGATTGCAGAGATTAATGAAAAATGCCCATTGCAATTATCAGTGCAGCATAAGGGCAGAAAAAGCCTTTGGAAATTAGTACTCTATACCTCTCAGCATTGTAAGAAATAGTAATGAGGGAGAGATGACAGTAGAGTGACACTGGGAGTGAAGTACTAGGGCCTGGAATGTTAAAAATGAAAAAGCAAGCTGTACCTAAGTAAGTGTATTGCTGCATCTCCATGCCCTCCTCCCCCCTTCCCCTTCCAAAACTGGGCTGCTGTAAGTCTTACTTCTGTCTGCCTTGGAAGTTAATTCTGTGATTCTGTGATTTACAGGGACACACGGACTTTAGAGAGCATTCCTTAATATTGCAGTGGTGTGAGGCAGGGAGGAAGAAAATTATTTCCAAAAGCTTTCTTTTTCATCTTCAGAAACAGGCAAAATGGGAGTGAGAAAGCTAAAGGAATGAAAAGATAGGCACAAAACCAGCTAATATTCTGAATTAGAAGAAACATGATTGAGATACGACTACTATATTAGTTCTATGAGTATTGTTATCAGGAAACAGTCACCCTTGCACTGCCTCCTGAAGCTGCTGAATCTGACCAACCAGTCTACTGACAGCTGTCACAATCTGACCCTATAAACTGCAACAGAAATCTCATGTAAGTAATATTACTTTGGCTCTATTACAGTAAAACATATACTACCATGAAATAGCATAGCAAAGTGATATATATGGCATAGCAGAGTGATATATTGTAGTGACTAGTAGAGAATGAGCAAAAATGGATGTAATAAAGTGCTATCTAAATTTTATCAGAAATTAAATCTTTTTTTTTGTTTAAATTCTAAAAGGTAACTGAAAAATTTATAATTTGAGAATTAGAAAAATTGCTTCTGTTCCTATCTCACATTACAATTTCTCACATTTGTAAGCCCGTGACAGAAACTTCTACAGCAGTCTATTTTACCCGTTCAAGAATTTGTTGCTGACTGAGGAATCGTCAGAAAATTTCCTTTAAACATGTAGCTTTTCAAATAATTGTTTATCCTTTAAGACCTTTCTGATTTATGCAGCTCTTCCTCATGCCTATTACCTTTCTAACTACTTACTTCATGAGTAATGCTAGAGTTTTCAGTGTTGTCAAACCAAATGAAAACTAAAGAAAAGCAGTGTGTCAGGAATAAGGTGTTAAAATGGATATTGCTCATCAATCATACACCACAAAAGGTAATGTGCTGCAAGTTACATTTCCTCTGATTCTTTTTTTCAGCTATTCAGAGTGTGAAAATAGATGTTTAATAACACAACAATAGAAATGCTATTTTAACTAGCACAATACTATTGAACCAGTACAGAGTATGACTCAGCTGTACCACGTGTGTATAGTATGTGTCTGTGTGAGAGAGACAGTCATTCAGGGCTCTGAACATCATCTTCACAAGATAGAACACACAGCCACAGAAATAATTACTAGGAAAGATAAAAAAAAGTGCACACTGCTTTGATGTTTGTTCTCCTCTGGAAATAAAGACATAAGTGCTTTCAAACAGTTTGCTCTGCAAAATGAACCTATTTAATCTCAAATATCAGCATTTAGTCTTATTATGATGCTTTCCAATATCCTCTCTCAGGCAAAAGTCTAGATCTGGTGGAACTATATATTTCTACATAAGCCATAGGAAGTAATGCAAATTAGCATTCTTCTTTGGAACTTCCAATATGAAGAACTGCATCGATCACATTTTTTGGTAAGTCATTGCACAGAGAAATCATAATAACAAAGATGGCAAGACAAGGAATTTTATGTTATGTGGATAAAGTCAAAATCCAAATACTGACTATATTTAGTTATCCAAACAGTGCTTATTAAGGTTGCTTTTCATATATTTACTTTCCAGTCAGCAAAGGTCTCACACACAACCACCTCATCTCCTCTTAGTACAATCCTTACTGTCCATTATCAGTAATTATTCTCAATAAGAGAAAAAACTTCTGCTTTAAAAGGCTTATAAAACTTTCCTTGTACTGTCTTTGTCCAGACAAACCATTCACAATTCTTCCACTTTATAAAATTTTATTTCTGGCCAGTACATTAAATAAACAGATAGACAGACAGGTAGATGGATAAAAGAGAGATTTAGGACATACCTTCTACCTCATGCATTTGTGAAAGTGAAATTTAGATCAGTGGTATAACCAGATTCAGAATGCAATTATGTTACTATCTTCTAAATAAACTGTTACAGAAAACCCAATCAACCCAGAATTTTATGGAAAAAATAAACAGAAGAAAAAAAACAAACAGTACAGAAGGATCTTTCAGGTTTGTTTCATTTCTCCTTCACAAGACATTTTCAGCTAGAACTTCTATGAGAGATTACAAATAGAATGTTCAGCAACAAGGAAAAATCATAAAACTCATTTCAAAGGAAAAATGGGGGAAAAATACAATACAGTAGTCTAAAATTAGGGTGTTTGAGATGCACAAATTGAATGCATAAGTGAGGAATCCTCTGGCGACAAAAGCAACATCATTTTATTAACATTTATAAGAGCTGATGTTTTCTTAAGGGACAAAATGATGAAAAAATAGGAATTGAAGAGGCAGAAGTGAAATAGTTGGCCGTTCATCTGACTTGAATTCCAGAAGGTATATGAGAACTTGTCTACAGTCATCACAACAAAAGGAATCAATTATCAACTTAGTTTTTATTTCAGCTCAGTTCTAGTGTTGTTTTATCCTTAGTAGGCTCAAGGAAACAAAACTGAAATAGTGAGCTCTTATTTTCTCTACCTTATACCAATGTAAGAATGTTCTGCATTTTTACTTGAAAAGTAAAGGCTCGCAGTTACATTGCTACATACATGCATACATAATAAAATCTAAATAATATAATACACATTTTAGTATTTTAGATGAACTCACCTTAAATTGCCAGGTGTCACAGTTTTGACAAAGGCTTTAATTAAGTCAAATTTTGAGATATTTTAGTTACAGATTTGAGAATTAAGACCAACTTATGCCAGTAGTCCAATGCAAACTCGTAAGTTCCATAAAATGGAAGATTTTTTTCTTTAGTTTGCAAAGTCTTCTTGTGGAAGCACCAACTTCTTTAAATAGAAAACAATGCACTGGAAATCTTTTTTTTTTTTTTCCAATGGGAAAACAGTAGCAGTCACTATTATGACCTTCAAATAACTGCCTTACAAACCCATTTAAGAACACCTTTTTTTTTTTATTCTGAGTGCATACACAAGCTGTGAATTTCTTTCTGTTCATAATTATTTTCATTGGACAGTATGGAGCACTGCAGACTATAGAGTGTTTTAATAATACTATTAGCATAAAACAAATGAAAAAAACAACAAACAAAAGAACTCTCCCTGTCTTACAGTGATAGACTCTTACTCTGAGTCATGAATAATGGTAATTGAAGTTTAACAAGGACAATAGAATTTGTAATTTTTGTACACTGCTTAAATATAAAATCTTAGAGTTGCTTCAGTTGGAAGGGACCAAAGGGAGTATCTTAGTTCCAACACCCTGCAGTGGGCAGGATTGAGAAGCATTAGATCAGGCTGCTCAGAATCCCATTCAACCTGGCCTTGAGCACCTCCAGGATGGAGATCCACAAGTTCTCTGGGCAATCTGTTCCCATGCCTCACCACCTTCTGAGTAAAGAACTTCCTCCTAACATCGAATATAAATGTATCCTTTTCTAGTTTAAATCCATTCCCCCTTGTCTTATCACTATCAGACTATGTGAAAAGTCAGTCCTCTAGCTCTATACAGCTCTGCTTCCTTCCTGTACTGGGGGCCCCAAAAACATGGTTAAATGCTATGCCTTCACCGCGTGCACATTGTATGGTCCATTAGGGCCTCTTTCATCCTTATCAAAGGGAACACTCACCTTCTCGCGTTTCATACAATAAGAAATTAGCTATAACTTCATTCAGAACTGCCCCTTAACATTATTAAGTACTCAGAATTCCAGCTGAAATTGTCATGTTTGAAAAAACAAAAATTGCTAGAGAAAAAATTCAGTTCAGTCATATGAATAATGCATCACAGTACATTCTATATCAGAAGTGTAAAATAGATTTTCATTTTCATCAGGGCATTTTCATATGCCTTCAAAACATTTTTCAATTATATTCAAGGTAATTAAATCATGAATGGATTGCTCAAATGGTTTCCCAATAATTCTGTTTTAATGTACCATGATATTAACATGAAATAAGCTACCTAGAGAAGAAATACTATTTCAAGAATCTTGCAGTAGAATAACACTGTGCAATTCAAACAACTATATTTAGCAAATCCACCTGGCAGAGAGATGCATAATTTCTGTGTTTCTACTCTCTGATACAATAATCTTTCAAAGACAAATTGAAGTCTTGTATCTGGGCTAACTCATATTAAAACAAATACAAAAAGGTTTTCAACTAAATTTGGAGACATATCTAACGTAAGTAAACATGTCTTCAATCTTTTCAAAGCACGCAGCATGGCCACTTACACATCAAATAAGAGGAGATCCTTTATTTGTTCTAGATTAGAAGTCACATATGTATCCTTACTTAGCCCAGACATCAAACATGCTTCTGTTGTGCTTCATACTTCTGAATCTGGAAAAAACAAAAGCCACCAACATCTTTTCCTGGGAAACTGATACACACTTACATCACAGCACCCAATATGAAACTGAAAAAATGAGCTGTTGAATATATCTACAAAAAATAAACAAGAATTAACCAGCACATACTACAATTTCAACTCCTCTTTTTTTTTTATCTTAGCCATACTTCAGCAACAATCAATTACGTGAGTACAATGTACTCTCATAATAGCCTGCACTCTTTTTATCAGTAAGTAAATAACTTGCTGTCTTCCCCTGTTGTGCCAAAGTAATCCAACAAAGGTTTCGTGTTTTTGTTATATATATTGTGACAATTTTCTATCAAATTATGAGAATTACTTGATAGCAAAACATTAACAAAACAGTACCATGAAACAAGCTACATAATTTGTCCCTTATAGCAAAACACAGATCTAAGCTATTGTGACAGTAGAGAATCAACAAGTTGGCAGTAAAATCTTATTACGAGAAATGTCCAAAGATCTAATTTCGCATAGTGATGGCAAATTTGATCATTCACTTCATAATATATACTAAACAACTACTTTGCATCACTTCCCTACTTCACAGGTCTCAACTACATAACAAAACTAT